GGGGGGGGGGGCGCCGGCGGGCCGCCATGGGTCATCTCTCATATGCTGAGGTGCCACACCATTAAGACTAGTGTGAATGTCACAACGGAAAAGTTTGTCCAAAGTCCACAAGTTTGGTGTCTACGGACTCGGCTCGTCACGCTGAGTAACATATGTCAGCCCCAGCCTTCTGAGTCGCTCCCTTCCGAAGGGCCGCCATGGGTCATCTCTCATATGCTGAGGTGCCTAAAGTAATCAGTTGTAATCACCTGAATTCTATAGTAAATTATTTGTTATATGAGAATCTGTCAAGACTTTGCATCATATGAAAATTTAAACACATCTTTTCTGACCCTGACATAATAATGAATCAATGCTGAATACTCTCTTAAGGAAAAGCAACTTTAATTTGCAAATTTCCAATTTCCAATTTCAACTCCCTATACATACTATTTTATATATACTATTTTTGATGATTTCTCAAATGGTAAGAGCAGCCAGCCACAAAGGGAAACTTCACACAACACTTCCTACAAGAGCTTCACAGCAAAACAAAGTTGATTATCTTTCTTACTGTGAAGCAGCTGTGGGATGTATCGAGTTATAGTCACAGCATATCGAGTTCTAACTGAGGATTGTTGATCTGAACATTTTTATTGCTTTGTCATGGCTGGATCAGTTTTACATGGCACATTAGTCAAGTGAACTTTGAATTTCCGACACACAAAAGTCAAGGTAAACAAGGCATTTTTCCCCCCTCGTGTGCCACCTCCCCCCTGTTGAGCAATAAAAAACCCCAAATATCAACTTTCCATTTTTAAAGCCCTGCGGAGTAGTAACAGTGGGTGAAAAGCTGTTTCATCCTATTAACATGCAATTCTTAAAAACTTGTTTATTTATTCTACAGGGGCAGCCTGTGGTGCACACACGCATTAGGTTTCACTCAGGTATTGTACTTTGGTAAGTGGTAGTTACTGTAAAACCTGAGTTTACATGCAGCGGGCAATTAATGTGATGTGTCTCCTACACACAAACTTACTTCAGAACGCTTTCTTTTGTAGAGCTTTTGGGATTACAGAGAACAGGCTAAAAGAGCAAAGAGCTTTTTGTTCTGGAAAAAAAAATTATTTACTAAGCTGTGGGAACAGACGTATTTAGACTTCTAGAACTTCTAGTCTTTTTGATCTTGCACAAAGTGTACTTGAAAGAGATGCAGATCTTTTTCAAGTACACAGCAGTGGACCCAGTGACGCCTGTTGCTATCGAAACCATCTAAAGCTACCGTGGCTGCATCTATTGACAGTTAATTACATATTTAATTAATTTTCTGCTCAGTGCAGGAGAAGACTCTGTGGCTTTTCTCTACATCAGCTGTGTGTTGAAAAACAACAAGCAGGCAGCTGCAGCAATGCTCGTGTATCAGAATGTAGCTTAGCATTCACAAATGTTAGCCAGTTCAATGTCTCCATACACACTGAGCATTCATTATATTCTTTGATGGTTCAAGTTTATGTTTTCAACGTCTGTTCCATAGACTATTTCATCAAAATTACATCGCTAACAAACAGCTTTGGTCCAAGTTTAATTCATGTTGGCACTGACATTAGTTAACACTTCAACAGAAAATTATATTATTCCCATTATTTAAAGTTTGTTTAAACAACTTTATTTATACAGTGAACAGTACCAATTTCTTTCTTTATACTCCTACAATGTGCACCACTTATACCAAAATCCACCACGGCACTAAACAAATCTTATGTCCCATGATACCTCTTAATACCTCATGATGGCCAAAACAAAGCCCTCTCTATTCTTACCGACATGAGGCGCTTGTACTCGTCCAGTCTCTGCTTGTTGGAGGCAATGAAGAGTCCTCCATTCTGGATCCAGCCTGTGTGGAGACCCGTCTCCTCCTCCAGGTCTTTGCTGATCACATTCCTGGTGTGGGCCAAGAGCTCCACCTCAACATCACTGGGACGGAGCTGCCACAGCAGGCCTAGTGGATGGACAGACACATCAGCGGATGTACAAAAATACTTAGACAAGAATACATGTCCACTATGTGAGCTACACATACAGATGAATACACACACACACACACACACACACACACACAACAGAGGTCACAGGTTAGGTGAGCTCTTTATCTACAAACACCTAATCTGCGCTTGAGGTACAGAAAGAACAAACTGTAGGTTGATAAGTAAAAAGCAAGAGTTGAACCACACTTTTAGTGTAGAATTAAAAACTAATTCATTTCAAAATAGTAAGAAAAGTATTTGGATGTTCAACATTTAGCACGCATTATCTCAGGTAAATACACACTCCTTAGCCTGTCCATATTCTTACGGTTTATTACCTGCTGTGTGCCAGGTGGTGCCAGCAGTCAGTCTGTCTCTCTCCAGCAGAACTACGTTGGTCATACCCATTTTAGCCAGGTGGTAGATGGTCTGACAGCCCAGACTGCCTCCTCCGATCACCACCGCATCGGCTGACCTGAGGCAGGTGGCAGACAACAACAGGTGAGCTGAGAACATGATTTTCAAAGTGGGATAAGGACGAAGCCACTTAAAACCCTAAAGCTTTGTACATAATCATCATCAAAGAAATCCCATGTTAATGTAAGAGAAATCCAGATTGATGTTCATCTTAAATTGCAAAAACTGCTGGAAGCGAACAGTCACTTTTACAGCACACACTGTAGCACAGTATGCTCTCCGCTACGCTAACCTGGGCAAAGGTTTAGTGGGTCCAGAGGAGGCTTGAACCTCCTGTTTGAGTGTCTTCTCGTAGGGAACATTTTTTTCCTTGGTGGGCTCTGAGCTGTAGGACCGAGCACTTGTCCGGCACAAAGGAGAGAGAGGAGGCCGCACTGCCAACACCACCCGCCGAACTGCGCTCCCTAGGAAGGCCATGGTCCCCTGCGGACAGTCAGAGGACACAAAGGGACAGTGTGAAGCTGCGGAAGCATATGTTGATTGTGTTGCGCAAAATAGGCAAGGTCTCAGAATGATGTCATGTAAATGCAACAAAAACATTTTTTTTCAAACTACATGATAACATGACGATGACATTTACATTTATTCATTAAACAGACACCTTTATCCAAAGCACTAAGGAGTGAGAGACAACGCTAAGCTTCAGTAGGAGGCCTTGAAGTAAGCACTACACACTAACTCTGTTCAATACGACAACGTGCAAAGGGATGAGTTAAAGAAGTGTTCCCAAAGTAAATGCTAGTTTGGCATGTTAGGGTGTTCGGGGTGTTAGGAGAGGATGTGCTCTCAGAAGAGACGAGTTTTCAAGACATTCTTAAAGATAGAGAGGGACGCCCCGGCTCTGATAGCATTCAGTAGCTTGTTCCATCATAAGGGGACCACAAAAGAGAACAGTCTGGACCGAGATTGCCTCGTGTGCAGGGATGGCAATGCTAGACAATGTTCCATGGAGGAACGCAGTGGCTGAGAAGCAGGCTATGTGTGATTGAGTAGATAGATTGGTGCAGACCCAGAAGTAACTCTGTAGGAAAGCAATAGTGACTTGAATTTGATTCGGGCGGTCAATGAGCATAACACTTACTGTATGTGTACAGTATATTCAGCGTCTGCTTGTTCTGGCTGCAGAGGATACATATGTCAGACTTATTCAAATCCAAAGTTTGGCTACCATCGCACCAAATGGAATTGTGCATTATTTTATATACAAAACGGTAGAAATGTTCAAGAAAAGTCGGGTAAAGCAGGTGGCTTGAGATGATGTTATAAAGTCCAGGCAGCAATCATCTGCTTTGATTAATGTCCTAGACTTCAACCAACAACAACTCAAGTCTGCTGCTCGCTGCAATCTGAACTCACAAAAGATGAGTCAGCAAAAACAAAATTCCTCTATGGAGATCAAGGTTCGTGGGTTTCACATTATCACTAAAAAAGACTAGTTAAGCTGCAACTTTAACTTGGTCACTGAATGACAGTGTTGCATAGAGGGGTAAAATCAATACTGGGTCAAATACTTCCTCTGTCATCTGAATGTTTGCAGATGGATAAAAACTAACTGAGATCAGGTGCTTTGATCAGGTGCATCAGTTCCAGCAGTCACCAACACCAGCATTACACTAATAATTACTCAGTTGATATGTGCACTGTCTGCACATACTTGAACTGAGAATGAGGAGAAACAGGTTTAAGGTGGCATTTGTAATTACTGAATGACTGGACTTTATCCGTCTATTTTCACAGTGAGATTTGAAAGATAAAATCGCTGCCAGCTTCATGAGAAGTGTGCACAAACTGAAACGCTTAAATGCAACAGCGGTGTTGTATTAACATATGCACTAAAGTTTTCACAACATTTTCTCAACACCCAGTGTCACTCGATTGTACGCGAGAATAAACGAGAACATACACACTAACATGCATAACAGAACATGTGCCTTTAACAGACTGTAGCCTACGCCACGTACCAAAGTAACAGAATCAGCCTGAGCAGCTGCTGCAGACAGTAAGTAACGTGGCATAAAACGCTGCATGTGACCCCCCTCCCACACCAACGAGCATTGAACACAGATCACCGTAACAGAACCTGCAGGATGCCTCATGCAGTAACTATGTTGCGTGAAAGCGCTTTGATCTCGGACATGGACACTTACACTTCCGCTTCGTTACAGACTCGTCCCGGCCACGCTCGATGCAAGATGTTTCAGAAAAGCTGAAAAAAAAAAAAAGTTTGCAGAGTGAGGGGATCGCAGTCGCGGGAAAATGGCCGAATACTTTTGTACGTCAGCGAGAGAGAGAGAGAGAGAGAGAGGAGAGAGAGAGAGAGAGAGAGAGATGGCTTTAAAGTGTGTCACAGGCGGTTCAGTAGCTGTCAGATGGTGTGAGTTGTAGCTGTAGTTTTTGCCTTCACCCCTCCCCACTCAGTTTGACAAGTCGACCATCTATAGTGTAGACATGCATATGTGTAAATGCTGAGGAGAGATAATTTGTTACCAACCCAAAACAGGATTTCAAATCCCAACAAAACTATGCAGGATATTTCAGTCTCTTAATTAATCAAACTGCACAGACGTGAGTAGAAACCAATGGCCTAATGCTGGAGAATTACCTTGAAATCTCATAAACTGTATAGCACCCAATTGTCAGCAAAATGATACGAAAATATACATATATACAGTTTACATATATATATATATATAATATAAATATAGATAAACATGATCTGTGGAGTTAAAACTTGCACCAGTATGGTCCTTTAAGGTGTTAAAAGACCTGAAAAGTCCAGGGATCAGGACTCACCAGAGCTTATGTGAGTTTGTAGTTGTTACCTTTGATATGCACTTTTTTATTGCCTTAATAATTTAGTGAGAAATGTATTTAAATGTGTTTGAATGGATTCATCAACTGCAGACAAAGTTACACAAAGATTAGGCAATGAAGACTCACCTGTTCCCACTTTCACCAGCACCTCTGAGAGACCATATACTGGCGTGTAGAACTGTTTTTTTTTTTTAGACTTTGTGGAAGCGTGGACTATTTTTCTTATGTATCTGCCCTCTTCGCTCTGTCAATATTTTTCTTCGATCTGCCTGTGCATGTGTTTGTGTGTGTGTGGTGTGTGTGTGTGTGTGTGTGTGTGTGTGTGTTAGGGGATGTCAGGGTGGCAGCTGCAGGAACTGCTGAAGTCCTCAAGGTCCTGAGACCAAACCAAGCGGAAGTAGAACATCAGTTCAACATAGAATGATCATGTACAATATGTACAGTTTGTATGTGTATACGTGAGGAACTGGATACATACAGTAGTTATGGTGAACTTGCAGCGGGGAATAAATGGCGAGAGGAGAAGAGACTAGAAGAGAAAACAATTTAAAACCTAAAACAACTTTGCCTACGTAACGCAACATTATGAAACCTTATGTCCTGAGCCATATGCAGTTTCTCTGACTGCCAAGTTGATCTCATGAAACCCCACCTCCAAACCAGCAGCCAATAAGGTGCTGAGTTTAGGTTCCCTCCTGTGAGGGTTCTCTCCAGTTCATACAGCTTTGAACAGGACAGGAACTGAATATAGGAGCTGCAGTCAATCCCTCAGTCTTCTCTAGGCTGTGTGTGCGTGTGTGTGTGTGTGTGTGTGTGTGTGTGTGTGTGTGTGTGTGTTTGTGTGTGTGTGTGTGTGTGTGAGAGAGTCTGAAACTGAGAAAATAGTCTACAGCAACCTTTGCACTTTGTTGTCTGCTTTTCATCTCGTTAAATAACCCTTCTTAAGTGCAGCAATGACAGTTACACACACCTTCACATGCATGCACATGTGTAGGTGTGTGTGTGTGTGCTATGCTTATGCAAACAGCAAGTCTATATGCACATGGGTTATATGTTGTGACTTATCTGTAGCTATGTTTCGGTCATTCTGAAATGTGACAGGGTGTTCCAAAGAGAAATAAGGTCACGGAAACTGGATGGATCACTGCATGTGCAGACAGCTGTGGTATGCCTAGAGCTAAATGTGTGAGCTTACACACAGCCATGTATATGTATCAAGTGTGAGTGTGGAAACAGAAAAATCATTAAGGATGAGACCAAGCAGAGTCAAAATACAGTACAATTCAAGAAACTGAGGTGCATTACTTGAAAGTTTAATGGTGAATAAAACGTCTGCTCTTATAGGATCATCCTCTGTGAATATAAGTCTTGAATACACACTCTGCTGGCATTACATTTGACCAACAACACTGGAGCTGCAAAATTGAGTCTGCTTGAAGCAAACACCACATCACAGAGCTAACAAAAGAACTGAATACAGAGGATCTGGTTTGATTTGTTGCATTTTGAATAAATGTTAACTGGACAGACAGGACACTTTTTCATAAGTGTAGCCCATAGAAATAAAAATTAGAGCATGCAATCAAAATGTCCCTGCTCGGATATACAAAAATTTGACAATGGATTGAACTACCATGGTTTTAAGCCCACATAGTTTCAGAGCAACTGAGCTCAGATGTGAAATACAGATCATGATTATCCAGCAAAATTGTTGTGAATCACAAATATGGAAATCTGCAACAGTTTCCAAAGACTTTCCCCAAATTCAGGGAAATACCTCCATCTTGTGGTGGATGTTGGTCAGTACAACATATGGGAGTACTTTTTTCCCCCTCAAATTACTGTCAAATTTATTGACCACCAAAAAATTGGTTTGTTAATTAACAAGATCCATAACCACATGCATACAACGAAAAAACGTGTAAAAACTAATTTTTATTAACATCTGCAAAGTTTGCTACACAGTCATCCTGACATCCTGTTTTATAACATCATGACTGAGTACAGATTTATTGTTCAGAGACAGAGACAGAGAGAGAGAGAGAGAGAGGCTTTTGCTGGAAAAGCCATTGCACTTTGCCTGTTGTACATCATGTTGTGTGACTCATCTGTCAACCACATCGAGAGAGACTCAACCAATAAATTAAGACAGGAAATGCGACACACATAATGGCAGGAAATGAATACATGAAATCACACCATCATCAATGCAAAAATATATGTAACTTGATCATTGTAATTTAAATCCAAGAGGGACACGAGAGAATTACATCAGTTACTTACATTGCAACCCTGTTGTTGTTTTGACACATTCCTAGATTGAAAAGGATCCCAGTGATGCTACAAAAAGGTTATTACAGGCTGTGTTTTAATATGTCTTTAATAAGACTTCTGCTACAATACATGTGGAGTAATAGTAGTTTTTTTTTTAACACAACATGTAGCAAAGGACGGTAATGTGTCTCTCTACTCAAAAGTAGCAGCACTGGCTCAGATGTTTAGCTGCAGATGAACCAAAACTACTTCTACACTGGTGGCAATTGGACTTCATACCTTGACATGCCGTACTGATTTTCATGCTGTCGACTGGGTAACACACTATCTCTGACCATGAAGTTCAATTTGTGTGGCAAAAATTGAAACGTAAAAATATTAAAACACAGCCACAGAGTAGAAAGTAGTCTGATAAGTCAATGTTATTTCAGTTCTAGTCATTATTAGACATTTAAAAAAAAACATTTTAAAGAAGCTTAAATTGTTCAATTGAAAACATTCAATGTGTTAGTTTCACTAACAAAATACTTCCTGCATAGAATCTGGTACCAATGAAACAGTCTTACACTGTCCCTAGAAACCATGAGGTACATCAACTTTATAACGGCTAAATGAAGCTAAAGGAAATATTTAACAGGGTCGATGTGGCTTTGCATTAGACACAACTGTATCTCATAACAGTCCCGAAGGAGGATAAAAGTGGAGAAATAGGCAGACAGACAGATATGAAATATCATGAAAAAGACATGAAGACAAAGAAATAATGGCAACAACAGTATCAGACTTGTGTCCAGACTTGCCAGGAGTTGTGAACAGTGCAGCTACTGGAGCCTTAGTCTGCGGTTTGCAGAAAGTCACTGTAAAGCTGCTTTCCCTTTAAAGGCTCTGCTTAGCATTATAAACATGCAATCATCAGAAGCACACACACCATTACAAGCATACATTCAAACACAATGTTCTTGACATCAGCCATACAAACTGTTTAAACTCTCAGAATATTAAAGATGTCTGAATAAAGTAAAAAAAAAAAAAAAAAAAAAATCTAAAAGGGTGGATTGTTCTCGAGAAAAATCTGTTGTGCAAGTTCAAGCATCTGAATTGCTAAGACGCATAAAAGTATTAAAACACCCATTTTTTTTTTTTTACATGTCTACAAACAGTCTCAACAAACATTGTCCCAAAAAATCAACTTGTGCCGTACACTTGCTAACATGCCTTGAAAAAACCAAAGTCCAGGTGAAATGACACGGAGCATGTCAGTGGTGTGAGTGTACTGAAACAAAGTCTGAGAGCAGTTCCTCGCCTCAGCATCTGTCTCTCTGACCTCGTGGCCCCTTGACCTGCAGGTTCTCCACAGCTACGTCAGCTCCGCACTAAAGTTCATCCTTGTAGGCAGCTGACAGCATCTCGGGTGGGGGCGACCCTTTCAGGGTCTTGTGGGAACCCCTCCAATCGGTGCGTACCGAGTCATCGTCCCACAGGGTGGACGTTTCCGTGTCACTCACCCACTTGGGCTCGCCGGCGTAGTGACACGGCTGGACCAGGAGGGGGCGTGCACTGAAGGCTTGCAGGTTCCTGTTGGGGAAATGGGACTTGTAGTCCTCACTGCAGAGAGAGATCACATGGATTTGGTTTGATTCATTTGAGACTTTAAAACATCTTGTATGTCACAATAAAAGAATAAAACTAATAATAAATATGGAAAACAACATCAGCCATTAAATATTAGCACACTATATTTCCTACAAATGAGTATTAATCATTAATATCTGTTTTATTTTGGGCCTAATTTGAAATACATCCATTTCACAGAGGCTGATTTTCAGTTACTCTTAGCATGAAGGGCGACAGCAGGACCAATGTGTGGTGTGCGGTCGTTGTGCATTCTTAGCGGACCAGTCAAGCATATCAAATTAGAATCACAGAGGTGAGAGAGAGAAAGAGAGAGAGGATAGAGAAAGTGGGTTGGCTTTAAGCCAGTTTTCCACACATGATGAAGCACACAGACACTGCCAAGCCTTCTGGTTTGCAGGCCCTTCAGCCCAAGGTCCATTTCATCTCTTGCAGTCAGTACCGCATGTGTCATATCTCGTTTACTCTGCTAACTCATCACTGTGGGATGATGAGAGAAGTTGTCTGGCGAGGGCTAACGTCAGGTGATGTTACGGGTAGAACTGAACACAGGGGTTGCACTAACATGCAGCCATTAAAGAAACAGTTTAGAGGAGAAATGTTATGAAGGAAAAGGGGGTCATGAGATAGAGGAGGAATTGGTGGAGGAAAACAAAGAAGAATAATAGTAGAAATGTTTTGACTGCTGGAAGGTACTAACTCTGTGAGTAAAAGGAAAAAGCCTACAGCCATGCTAGCAGGTCTGTGCTGTATTTAGGACAAGTGGTGCTTTGAGCTAAAAGGTAACAGGGCCAGGTGTTTATGAAGACAATGCTCACATGCTAATGCTTAGCATGTACAATGTTTACCACGTTCACTGTCTTAGTTTAATGTGTGAGCATGTTAGCATTTGCTAATTACCACTAAAGTCAAAGTAGCTACGGTGGTGAAATGCTGTTAGTTATGCAGTTGGATCCAACTGAAACATTTAACTAAAAAAACAAAAATGTAAACCTCACGGTGACACGACGATGTTAAAAGAAATGTTCATCATTTTTCAAGTTCAACGCAAGTCTGCCACAGAGACATCTGAGTCCACTTCGGCGGTCTGTCTGGCAACCACACTGTGCCTAAAAAAAAAGTGGCAATCCACATCGCTCCAAATCCAGACAATCAATCTCAGAGAGAGATGCTGCCATGAAACCTGGAGGCCTATATCATCCAAAAAGAAAAGCTTGAAAAGCACTACATATTAACCTGACAAGAATAGAGATTATGGCCAAAACTGAACGTCTTTTCAAAGAAACTCAGATGTAAAACCACAGACTAAATATATAGCATGCACACAAGTTTAGGCAGCTATAAGGAGGAATCCTTGCAGCATTTATGAGGTCTGTTTTAACTTTGAATTTCTGGCTGGAAGAATGCTAAAAGACTAGTAGTAACTGAATGTAAATATGAGATAAGAAACCATGATAGAATTTTTCACAAAACTACTCATTAAGATCAGAGATTAAAACCAGGAAAGTATAAGGAGGCGCATGCATTAATACAAGAAAGAAGCACATTTCTGCCCGCGGCTTCAGTGCTGATGTCGTACATACTTGGGATGTTTGTCATACATGATGGGGAGGAACTCATCGACAGGCAGCATCTTGGAAAGCGGCTCAGCATTGAGCAGTTTTTGGGCTCCCTGTAGTGAGATGGCATAAGATAGAGTCCAGTACGAATAGTCCGCCATCACCAGGTTCCGAACATTCTCCACCGGCTCCTCGTTTCCAGGATTCACCTGCTTCCTGCCGAAGTATCTGTGGAGCAATAATAAGAAAAATGGAGGGTAAAGAGAAGAGGTAAAAGAGCTAAAGTCCAAAACAACTTAGTACTGAAATCTGTTGCTGTTCTTTGCTGCCAAATATCCTGGAAACTGTTTCTCTTTTCTGTTTTGCAGCATTTGTTCTGCATATGTGTCTAACTATCTTCAGAGAGAGTTATGGAAACCGAAATACAAAACAAACAAAAAAAAAGTCTCTGGTTCACATCCCATCTTCCCGCTGATAAATACTTTCAAAATACTTTCACCATGTGTCTGACGTTTGTTTCCATGTGCTTTACAACTTGAATCACAGGGAAACTGACTCACAAATACAGAGCTGCATTGGTATGCAGACACACACGAGGGAATATTTACACCCCGACACTGTTCAACTCTGTTTGAATAAGCTGTGAGTGATGTGTGTTGCATTCCTGAACGTGGACTTTCTTTTATGACTTTTGACCCTTTTCCTCAACACACACACACACACACACACACACACACACACACACACACACACACACACACACACACACACACACACACACACACACACAGTGCTTTTTTGAGGATACTCTACCTTCCCTGCCTAATCCTTGGCCTTCATCTAACCCCACTTAAAACAGGTACCATGGGGGTAAAACATTGTCTTACATGATGTCCCAATCCAGCTCCACCAGCTCCACCTCCTCCATCAGCCTGAGGACTCGTCGTTTGAAGTTGGCCTGGAATCGAGCATCATCTTCGAAGACAAGTGCTTTATCCATCTGCTCGTCCACCATCTGAGGAGAAGAGGGAAAAATGTTGTGCGTTTCCCATCAGGCTCTGTATTAGGATTCACTTCCAAGCTGGTAAAACCTCAATCTGAAACTTTTCAAATCAAATCTTTCATGTCTTCTTTTTTTAACACAGACAACACAATACACAAGTAGTTATTTAGCAAATACATTAAAATGAAATAGGAAACATATCATTTTTTATTGAATTTCAGTCTATAATATTAAGTTTTATTCATATGTAATTTATTTAAGATTAAAAATGTCATAAATTACAGTGAATGCAATAAAATACAATCTAATTCATAAGGCATTTGGATGAATTTGTATTTGACAAACAGATTTGATTCTTGCCTCAAATACAATATAATCCTAATACCAAAACCTCAACCCTACACCTGAATTTGTCCTCATCATTATATTGTTCTCTACAAACCACTCTCAGTCACGCCAATAAAGACCTTCATGTACAATTTGTGTGTCCTCTCACCTCCTTCCAGATGAAGAAGTGGCTGAGGAAGCAGCCCACCTCTCCTTTAGTCAGGGTGCGTCCAGAGAACGGGTCATAATAGCCTGGCAGCAGGTCAACACCCAGGATCTTAATGTCACTGCTGTTCAGTGCACTGCATACACATACACATACATACACACACACATACATATACACACACACACACACACACACACACACACACACACACACAGGTATTATATTCCCACAATTCCACAGACAACCTCACTGCACACTGTCCTCTGTGGCCTGCACACTGTGTTTCCCACATGTGCAATATACCTAGCCATAAAAATAGATTTTTTCAGTCATAACTGTCTTCATTCAGATTTGCTCAGAAGTGGATTATAACTGAACCATGAACCTACAGTAAAAACAAGAATCACGAGCTGATATATCAGTATGTTCCCGTAGAGAATTTTCCTATCAGCTATTCTCCAATCTACATTTTCTCTCAGTATCTGCAAATTTAGTATTGATTTTTTCTTTTCTTTTTTTTTCTTTTACATGGAAACATGGAGTACTGCACTTACTTTCCATCCACAGCATCCACCACCTTGACGTCAATCTCCAGCTCATTCAGAGAGAACAGCATCCGGTCTCTGCGGTCAGGACGGCGTCGCAGATTTATCAGATATATCTGAGATGAGGAGGGGAAATGGATATTTAACTCTGTTTACTGCACGTCATAGCTGTCATGCATATTGTTAATTTCCAACTTAGTCTTATGCATACAAGTACACTTTATTACGTACTTTTTAAAACTCCATTCATCAAGGGACAACTACACTATACTTCAATTACTTTGGATTATGCTAAAAAACCTAAAAAAAAAAGTTGAATTTCTTCATGCTCTAATCATTATATATCCTGCTGTGTATGAAAATTTAATTTTAAAAAAGTATTAAAATTTTATTAAAAGTCACTGACTAGAGGTTCTACAGCAGGATTTTGATTAATAACATTCAAGAACCGAGGAACGTTTTTTTTCTCTGATGCTGAAACAAAAATCCTTTTTACCTCGTCGAAGCCCATGAGGTCCCTCTGTTTGGGGAACATGTGGACGAAGCGAGACGGGTGCATGGGAGGACCATCGACTTTTTGACATATGGGGGACATTTGAGTTTGAAGAGAAGAACATAAATTAGTGAAATAAAGCTGAACTTGCACAAAGTGAACATGTGAAGAGCAGCTGATAAACCAAGGATTAATAACTGTTGCATATATTTTTTCAGTCTGTATCAATTTGTTGTTTTTTTTTAACTCTCTTATTATTAACAAATAGTGAATACAGTCTGTTCTTACTCATGGACTCAAGGTGGACGTGAACAAAGTTGAGGCGATCATCTTCCAAAGTGTGCTGAGGTTTGGCCGGGACGTTCAGGTAGCCGTAGCGCTCCTTGTTACTCAGGTACATTTGTACCTCTGAGCAGCAACAAAAATGAATGACTCAGTAAATGAATGAATGAACGAGACGTTAATTGTTCAACATCCTTGTTTTCCCACTAGGACACATTAATCAACCGTGAAAAAGTGCGTTTGTACAGACATTACTTTGCTTGAGTTAACCTGTCTTTAAGTGCATGTGATTACAAAAACATGACGACAAACAGGCACTAACAAACCTGCGGCCCGACAGGAGAAGGCGAACACAATGATGTCATCATAGGGCCACGAGTAGTCCTCGTGAGGAGGGTAGAAAGCCAGTTTCTTCATGCCCTCCTTCCTTAAATCCAGCAGCATGGTGGAGTGGACCATGGGCACCGGGAAGCAGCCCAGCCTGTGGCGGTGACGGGTGGGGAAATATTCTGCTGTTCGGCGATAATATCCCTGAACAAGTGCACACACACAAATATGAAAAAGTGAACAAACATTTTTTCTGACTGACTTGGTGTTACCTTCCAACAGGTTACTGACCCCTATCAGAAGTGTTGCTCACCTGTGGCGTGATACCGCACCAGTAGTTGGAGTACGCTCCCTGAGAGTCCAACATGGGAGCGATGACTGACTTGTTCTCCGCTATCAGCAGGTTGAGGGTGTCTGGGTTGGTGAGGATATTGTCTGTGTCAGCATACTGAAACAAAGACAGACAGACAGATGACACAAAGAGAAGAGAGAGGGAATAGGAGAGTGATTGTAGTGTCTGGTCTCACTGCAACAATGGATGAAATAACAGCAGCAAAGAAGGGACATCAGACGGATCAAGGCAGGTATTGATATGAATCTTAGTAAGATTATGTTGTAATGTACCAGGATGTAGTCGGCCCAGCGTTTCCTGGCGAAGTTCAGTGCTGCCTGCTTCAGCTTCATCACATACTCATATCTGCTGTTGGGCCAATGTTTAGGACCCAGCTCTCCTGCATAGGACCTAAGACCAACAGAGACAAGAGAGACCATATATACTGTCTTAGTATCCTTTTCTTATACCTCATAATTTTTAATTTAGTTAGGCTGAAGGGTTTCAGTGGCAACATACCTTTCCTAAATAAATTATATAGTGAAAAAAAATCAATCACTATATGCAGACTTTCAAAACTAAGAAATAAATACCAAAACACAAAAAAATTCAATGTGGGTAAATCTATTTGGGTGGATCGCCAAATAAATTCTGTATACTGTATGATAAACACAGTATATGTGCATACACAGCGTAAAACACAGCTGGACGGACACCTTAAAAAGTTCAGTGACTGTGAGCAGGTTAGTAGAGTTCAGACTGTTTAACATGCATACACAAATAATTTCCACTATTGGCCTCCTCTGCTCAGACAGATATCCACATAGAGAAACACGTATGGACAAGCAGAGGCGTGCCGCATCATTCTTCATTATCCAGAGACAAAATATAGTGAAACCACCAATGCTGACAGGTGAGCTACAGGCTAAGAGCCTATAAAGGTGTATTAATACATTTTCATTGTGCATAGAAGAAAAGACAGAATGAGCCAGATCAAAGCTTCAAGTACAGCTTGGAGCTGGACCATTAGCAAGGGGCTTGAGTTATTTCATTACTACCAGTATGACACATCAGGGAAGCTTTGACAGTGATCCTGGTAAAATAAAAGAGAGGGAGTGGGCTTACTCCTTTCTTTTTCCTTCATATTAATGCACCCACTCAAGTGTCCTGGGTAAGATTTGCTTGCTCTACACATGACCTGCAGGACCAGGACAAGATCAGTGTTAAACCAGACCACAAAAGTTCGATACATTAATGCGCTGTTATTTGGACTCACGTGGGCTGCTCCATTGGTCTCCACTCAACATAATGGTAAAATTTCTGCATGACAGTAAGCCACTCTTTCAGTATGGCTGTGGTGTTATCCAAGTTGTGATCCGTGGCAGCCCTAAGGAGAGAGAAAGCAGATGGTAAAATAAATGTAGACATCCAAAACTGATGAAGATGATGAACCAGGTTGAATTTGTTTTAACTGCTGGTTTAACGGAGGGAATATGGACAGAACTCCAACAAATCTTTATGGAGGTACAAATATTTGTTCCCCTCATATGATAAATTCAGAGAAAGCTGTTTAAGAAGAGAATATGGTAACCACTTTAAACAGCAAAGTGGAAGAGCCACTAGTTAGTGGGGTGTTTTCAGAGTCTTGATCAGGATTTCACACATATTTGAAAAGCTTTCAACACCAGTAATCTTACTGCTTGAATATCTGCTCCAGTGAAAAGCAGGGGTGGACAACATGATGACACAGTGACATGAAACAATACTGAAATTTTGCCTTGGTATGTGTTGTTATATGAATCTCTGTATGATTTAGACAATTCTGGGCCTACTTGTAAATGTAAATTAGCAGAACTTCTTTTCTGTAAAAAAACGGAATCTTTATATAATTTTTGCATCAATCATGTGATTAAATATTTTAAGTTGCCACGTATTGCATTTGCTGGATTATTAGTGTTGAAAGTATAGTCTAATATCCTACACATACTGCTGTGAACACATCACCCACAGTACCCTACCATTATCACCTTTATAGAAAACATCACATTTTTAAACCAGACAGATGACTATCACAGCTGTATTTCGTCTCTGTTAGGTAACCCAGCAACAGTTTATCTTTCTTTATAGATCCAGCGCCATCAAATCAAACCTTAAACTTACGAGAAAAATACACATAAAAAGATGGTTACTTAGCCCAGAGACGTATACTGCTAAAAACCACTGGAGGGCAGTTCTGTTTGTGCGTTTTAATCATTAGTGTTACACATATTTTATTCAAATCATTGTTCAGAAAGCATATCAGTTAGAACAAACTCTAAATTCATGCAGTCCACATAAGGAAATGACTGTGGCAGCCTGGGCTGTGAGAGGCACACAGGGAAGAGGGGAGGAGGGGGAGATCGCTGCTGCTTTCACAAACTCATTTAAATGCCATTGACCTTTTGAACGGCTGCTATAGTCGGATACAAAAAAAAAAAAGGGAGAGCCCTGTACAAACAGCCCAGCAGTGCATGCAGTCCAGTGTCCATGCAGAAAACCCACCACACAGAGATGCGATCTTTGGGGTAGTTGAGCCTCTCCAGGGCTCCGAGGTAGTACGGCAGGGAATGGGCAGCGTTTCTGGCTATGATAGCGATAACCACGGTGGGAGGCTGCATTTTCGACTCCTCCGGATACTTTTCCTCCGAAAAGTAACTCTCTGCCTGGAAAACAAAGGCCGCTAAAACTAGAAAGCGAAGTAACATGGTGGAGGCTGAGAGGGTCCTGCTCAATAATCCACGGAGCTTCAGTAGCTCAGCACGTAGCCGCTGTACGCGTCAGCAGTCCAAGAAAAAAAAAGGGCTTTCCCAAAATTTTCAACCCCCACTTTAACTTATTGTAAAAGGCTGGCTCACTTCTTTTTTTTTTCCAAGAACAAACCAAAACCCAGTCCGACAGAGGGTTCAATTACAACTTCCGTTTTAGGCTCACGGCTCAGTAGAAGTGTGACAACGTTATCCAAAGATGAAGGCGTGATTTGGCCAGAATGTAGTTCTTCATAAATCTCAGGAGACAACAGTGACATATCCAGTTGGAAAATGGGGAAACTATGACGTTAAGCGATTAACATGCAGTCATCCATAACTCCATAAGGAATTTATTTATTCTTTTCCAGAAAAAAAAAATGGGGGGAAAAAGTGATAACACACTTAAGTCTTATAGTCAGAAATAGTACTTTACTCCCTGTTGCACTTTTAGCTAACAGATCATAACAAACATAACAAATCATTAACATTTAGGCTGCAGTGTAGGTGTTTACATTTATATGCACATTACGCATGAAATATATATAAGCATGAAATATAAGTTATAAGTAGGCTAACATAGATGTAGTCCAAAATGTCCTCGCGACTTGAAGGCTGCAGTGCACATCAGCAGGCCTACATGGCAGTTTCTGGTGTTTATTCTGGCAGCTGTTTCAGAGATTGACCAGCAGAGGGAGGGTTTGATCCAAGAGAAGGCCCATACAAGCATATAGCTTATATAATTACAATTGTATGGGCAAGGAGGAGCTCAACCTCAGAAGAATACACACAGGCTAAGGAGGCTGACATTTCTCAGAAAAACACTGATTTTATTCAGAAGAGATGACAACGGGTAGAGACCACCTTTCACAAGCAATTCATGGTGAAAATGTAGTGTGGATCATACTCAGCTATATTTATTTGACGTATAGTTACTTTGCAGCTTGAGATTTTACATTCAAACCATATGATAAGATCATAAAATATAATGTTTTGCTATAAAAATGAACTATATAGCCCAACAGTATATGAAGTGGTTCAAATCTGCCAAAAAAAACACTAAAATGCTGTGTCCTATTTTATAATAAGACACATTTTATAAAAGGTTTGTAAATTGTAACTAATGGCTTTATTTATATTTATGAGTTAATCTATTAAGTTTCCAGCTTATACAAAAATCTATTTGGCTGAGTGTATCCAAGAAGCCATTAAGCAAAGTGAGTACTTTTGTTTTTGATACTCATGTGCATTTTGCTGATAATAACTATATACTTTCAGTGAAGTAAATTTTAATGCAAGACTTTATAATAGCACTTTTTACGCTGTGTTATTGCTACTTTGAAGTAAAGTATCTGGTCCAAGTTATTTACACTAATGTGATGTAAAGCGGATGGTGTGAACGCCACGGGGTCAGGAGGTCTCCTCTGGGAAGTGATGAGCAGTAAACACAGAAGACCTGATTAGGGAGACAAGGAAATCATAATCTTCAGTAAGACTGATGTTCAGCCTTATATTCACCCTGTTAATGAAACATTTTTGGAATTCTTCACATTGAAATGAAGACGACTCCAAACAGAAGATAAACAAAGAAACGACATTGGAAAGTTTCTGGTATTTAGCCATGAGATCTGTCAGAAATTTTAACTGGTAATTAGTTATTTTCCATTTGCTCTCTGTCGTTATTCATTATAGCCTTATAGTCTTGACTGATCTGTTGAGAAGAGGAGTTGTGGGTTTTGTTGCTGTCACAGAGTCCATTGTTCAGAAGGAGCTAAGGACATAGCGATTAGCTCCTCAGTATGTAAAAGGGTCAAAGATGCTCCTTGGATGTAGTGGGTGCCACTGTGTGGGCATCAGACGGTTCACTGCTGAGTGAAGCATGTGCGAGCAGATGGGTTAAATTTTAGGAGTGGGGTGAGTGTGAACAGAGAGACCAGAGGATTAAAACAGGGGTATTGTCCTTTATGTGTGTTGGGTCACCTACTGATGGAACAACACCATCAGTCACAAACTAATGGAAGTGGGACTGTAGAGATAGCTCCCACTTGAATAAATAGCTACATGTTTCTCAATATGCCGGATCAAAACAAGTGTTCACTGAAGATTTTTGCCACCTTGCACCTCCTCAAAGACTCTCTAGAGGTCCCTGGGGCCCAATTTGAGAAACTCCTTTAACAGCTGTTGTCAGTTTTGTTTTCAAAAGAAATAAACTCAAGACCTCAGTCCATCGTTGGTCACATCCTGCAGGTTTAAATCATCTTTGACCAGTTTGTAGAGAGCCGGTGTGTGTGTGTGTGTGTGTGTGTGTGTGTGTGTGTGTGTGTGTGTGTGTGTCTGTGTGTATGTGTTTTAACATAACCTGAACCAATCATCTAAATAAGATAGACACAATATCATTACAATAAGAATCTAATTATAAAAAACAATGTCAAATCTATCATGTTCAGTCACTTCCAGAAGTCCACACTCATACTATCCACACACACACACACATATGCACATGCACATGCACACCATTAAATCTTCAGGGTAATATTATGCAGAACAGAAGAAACATTCAAATACTCATTTTAAGTGAAAATGATTTTATTTTTTAAATGGATGGATTTTAATACTAATGATCAGTCTGCTCAGAACTCAAGTGAAAATCAAGATCATGAAATTGAGGTCGGCCGGACAGGAGCTGTGAAAAGAGCAAAAAGAGGAGTGATGGGAACAGGAGGAGGAGAGTGGTGAAGAAAGAAGAAATGGAGAGGCATAGATGTGGGTGGAAAATAATAAGCAAAGTGGTATATAATGAATTTTGACTCTTTTTGCGGGTTCAGTGAATAAACTAAAGCAGTCATTGCTAACAATAGCAGCCTTGGGTTAAAGGCACCGTTTGTGTGGACAGGTCAGGGGGTTGAGGGTCAAATCTCTCCTATTCATGACACCCCAAGTGTTTCCACAGTCACACACAAACACACACTTGGACACACGCATATATATGTATGTCAGGGGCACTTTCCCAGCGTTTGTGGCTGAGGCAGATCTGGGAGAGTTCAACCTCGGGTGCACTAACTTTTCACAGTGAGGTCAAGGGTGGAGATGGCGTTTGTGTGTGGGGGTGTGTGAATGAGAGACAGAGGGGTAGAAGGAAAGACAGAGAAAGGATAGGGGGAGAGAGAAAAGACAAAAAGAAAATCGGCATTGTTTTTGACCAGATTGCAAGGGACAGACTGAGGGAGAAAAAGCGGATAGACTGCAGTTACGTTACGATCGTGTATGTGCAGTGTGACTTCACTTGACTCAGTTAAATGGTCAGTTCACCCAAATTGAAAAAAAAACAAATATATTATCTCACTTACTTCTGGTAATATGTATCCATGCAGATCGTTTTTCTTTGATTTGTGCAAGTCTTGAGACATAAAACCCTGAGACTGTCCCTATTACATCTGGATCGTCCACAGGCTTCAGTGTGATTAGGTTTCACTGGATATTGAAAAAAATTGTCCCTGTTTAAACTGTTGACAACATGTTCTGTGGATTATCCCGAGTAACAGTAGCTGATTCTGGAAAGATTTTGTAAATGTAATTTTTTCTTGAACGCACCACCAATGAAATCCCACTCACCACCACTGTACTGCAGTGGCAGCAGAAATCTCAAAATTCCAGCAAAATAAAACCAAAAATATCAGCATGTTAATATGGTTTTTGGAATCTGGGTTAACTGACCCTTTAAAGCGTAGTGGGGGGTCTATCAAGGGCCCACCACTCATCCATGTCACATGCAGTCACATACACACAAGCGCACACCCTAGCCCGCCAGGCAGTCACTATGCCACCCATCTCTCTTTCATCTTTTCTTTGCCCAGTCCGAATGCTAAAGTTAGCGTGAGAGACTGAGTGGCTGCAGGTTAGGATGTGTGTTTCTGTCTTTGTGTTTGTGTGTTGGGACCGGGGCTGGTAGGCAGCAGAGAGTCGTGACATTCTCACAAGCTTCCGGGACCTTTATTGCTGTGGCAATAATCAATAGCGTTCCCACAGAGACGTCTTTTGGCTGGGCGGGTCAATACCTGTCACTCAGGGTCTGAGCCGTGGCACATACCCTCTTACTCAGCAGCTACAGCGGCTTCACTCTGTCTGCTCCACTCCTCCCATGTCATCCTATATGTATCTCAGGAGTGTAATATTTCCACAATTTAAGGAGTCGTGTGTTTTATTTGAACTCATGTCCAATTGAACCGCTGTGTCACTTTTTGTTTTCTTTTGCACATATGTTGCTGAGCTCTTGAGGAAATCTAGTGACCTCAGTAGGACTGCAGCTAAAGATGAACTTCTTCACCAATTATTATTCATGATGAATCTATTTACCCATAACAGATTGCTGTTCAATATGCAATGACATAAAACAGACAGAAGCAACAGATCTTCACGTCTGAGAAGCTGGAACCATGTGAATGTTTGGCATTTTTCTCTTGATAAATGACTTAAACGATTAGTCCATTATCAGCATGTTACCAATTAATTTTCTGTCAGCCCACTAACTGATTAATCTTTTCAGCACTAAACTCCACTTGTGGTTATTTGTGTTTTATTGTAAACCGAATGATTCCAATAATCATCTGCTGGGTCAGAAAACTCCTGCGCTTATGCAACTGTGTTTGCAGCTGATCTTTGGAAAACTCAAGAATTTTTTTGTTTTTGTTTTTGTTTTTTAACCTGTCAATGACAATTTGTATCAAGCAGCAGTTTCCTGTGTGTCTAACTATAAATCAAATACTCAACCTTACAGACAATATGTTTCTGGTCACAGGGATGTGAAGAGGGGATGTGGTGCAGCTGACAGCAGTATGGATGAATTGATAGCCAGGCCAGTGGGCTGGGTGTCTTTTTTTTTTTTTTTTTTTGAGTCAAGCACTTAAACAGAATTGCTTCAGTAAAAAATAACCTGTGTACATCAAATCCAGTCTTTACACGACACCACTTAGTCAGCACAAAGAAACTGATGCTCAGACTAAATGCTCCAGCAATGGC